ATCTTTCTTGGGGTCCAATGGACCTCGAAAGACCGTCTACGTATGGCAACATGAAGTCCTGAATAGGGTAAAGATAACTAACAATGCTGGCTGCTACTCTTTCTGACATTTCTGAGCCTTGCTGCTGCTGGAACAGAGACTAAATGACACCATTCAGCTGTAACTCAAACCTGGGATTGGGAATGGCCTGGCTGCTCCAAAAAAAAATCTCTGTGTAAAGTGTCTTCATTTAAAGTTAGCAGATTTTCCTTGTTTCAAAAAAAAAAAAAAAAAGAAGAAAAAACACACCGTGGCAAGATTTCATGCCACATAATTATTAATGCAGGAACCCCTTGATGGTTATTTACCATCTAGTTGGCACGTTTCATCAGCTTCTCTACCTAATAACATCAACTTTTTGTCATCAAATGTTGAACTAAAGATAATGGGTAAATCTACGAGTTAAGACAAAACATATCAGTAACTCGTTTGTGTTCAATTTACCGCATGTTTGAATTTGACCCTCACCGTCTCAGTGTCCATTAGTGCAGAGTGAAAGTGAGAAAAGAGGTGTGCTTGTTTTATTTTCCAGTCGCTCCCGTCACAAAAACTACCACAATACTCTGTTCACCCCGCCCCCATAAAGCTGGGGGGGGGGATCAGATTCCAGCAGGGGGCCCCTGTGGCCCCTCCCCTCCCTTCGCCTATGCTCAGACAGACTAGTTTCTACACTTGTTCTGCTGGATCTCAGTGCTGCATTTGATACAGTGGATCACAGCATCTCACTACAGAGACTGGAATGTTTAATTGGGCTTAAAGGAACTGCACTAAAATGGTTTAAATCATATTTATCAGACAGATTCCAGTTTGTTCATGTTAATGATGATTCTTACACCCGCAGTAGAGTTAGTAATGGAGTTCCACAGGGCTCTGTGTTAGGACCTATATTATTTACCTTGTACATGCTGCCCTTAGACAATATTATTAGGAAGCATTGCATAAATTTCCACTGCGATGCAGATGACACCCAGCTATATTTATCTTTGAAGCCAAATGAAATCAATCAGTTGGACAGACTCCAGGCATGTCTGAAGGACATGAAGGCCTGGTTGACCTGTAATGTCCTTCATTTAAATTCAGACAAAACTGAGGTTATTGTATTTGGCCCTAAACAGCTCAGAAACTCACAACTGAACCAGAAAACTACTCTAGATGGCATTGCCTTGGCCTCCAGTTCTACTGTAAAGAACCTTGGAGTTATTATTGACCAGGATGTGTCATTCAATAGCCATATAAAGCAAGTTTGTAGGACAGCCTTTTTTCATTTACGTAATACTGGAAAATCAGTAATATCCTGTCTCAGAGTGATACTGAGAAACTAGTCGATGCATTTATAACTTCTAGACTGGACTATTGTAATTCCTTAATATCAGGATGTCTCAATAACTCTCTCAAAAACCTTCAGCTGATCCAAAATGCTGCAGCCAGGGTTCTGACAGGAACCACTATGAGTTGTGAGAAAACTTGTGTCCTGTAGCTTAAGTTAATTGGGCCTTGTGCCAACTCAGTGTCGCTAACATGAGTAAACTAACTGATAGCATTAAGCTAATATCAACACACCATGATGGAACTGCTGTATGCATCTTCAGATGAGTGTGTTCAAATATTTATCTAAGAAGAGGAAGACAGGGGGATCACCTTGCAACATGTATGCTGCTGAGCATCAGTCGTAGAATTTCCGTACAACAAAGCCTCAGAGCTCTTCTATTAAAAACCCAGAAAAATTAATTGTTCTGAGCCTCGGTGCCAACTCTGCCACTGATTCTACAGCCCCATCAAGAAATTATTATTTATTGATTTTATTTGTGTTTATAAAATGTTACTGTTTTATTTAATTTTATATTATTATTATTTTTACATTCAGCCTTTAAAAAGCCATTTTCAACTGACCATCCAATAAATAGGTTGTAAAAGTAAAATCTGCAGTCAAGTGTCATTTGTTCACATCGCCACAGCTCCCTGGAGAGCCTGCCCCTGCTGCTGAAAAAAATCCAAGAGGAAACACTGGAATATTCTTATTGTGTATAGAAATATCAAAGTATTTAAAGTTGTAACTGAGTGTAACTTCTGATGTTGTATGCAAATGTGGTTTTTAAGTTTTTCTTTTTCTTGACATAGCATTTACAACAATATAAAACTTTTATTCAGATGTTACGAAGCCACTTTTGTTTTAGATGTATATATTTCCAACATTTCTACATGTATTGTTTATTACACATGCTAGCATCTTTAAGAATAGTATTCCTTTAAGATAAAAACTAGCGTGATGTTTAGAAATGATTGAAACCAACTGTAGTATTAAGATTTAAAGGTAATTCTAACTATGCAATCTAATGTTTTGCTTAACTGTTGTTTTCTTTTCTGTTGTTTGAATAAATATTAAACCTCAGTTTTTTTTAGTTAATATGAAAACGATCCCAAGTACGAGAACAAGAACAGCTGAAAAATAATCACAAAATCAGAGTCTATAATATCACGAAAATTGAATATTACAATACAAATAATATGAAATACAGCCCTGGAACTGCTACTAAATGCACTTTTTGGTGTGATTTCCCAATGACTTTAATAATATTGATCTGTTCACCTAAATACTATAATGCGACCCAATCACACTCTCAACTATTCATTCAACTTTTAAGGTCTTCATTCTAAATTTAGGAATAAAATTTAGTGACTATTAAATCACTGTGGTTAAGTATTGCTTTTAAATTGGTAATACTGGTCCATCAACGTCAGGTGTTAATGAAAGAAGGTCTTTCATGACCACAGCGAGAAAAAAAAGCTGCAATAAAAGGTTATTTCTTTTTAATTTTCTTTTAATAGTTCAGCGCTGTTTTTGTAAATTAATTCCTCATTTAAAGTGGGTTATGTCTCCCAGAGTTTCTCCTCTCACTGCTTTAATGGGATGGGTAAGCCCGAGCAGCCGCTAATGCTTGAAGAACTTAATTAGTATGAGTTTTACTGAGGAGTTTTACTGTGCCACCGCAGCCTAAAACATGTTTTACAACCACTGATACGAAGGAGGAAAATCCTTCACGGGAAAACCCTCAAAATCCACATAAAAAAGTAGCTTGTACAACAAATGCACTATATGACAAACAGAACTACTGCTGGAGTCTCGAAGCAACAAGTCTGCTCTCGAACAAGGCTGCTGTGTTTCTTTAAAGCAGTTCAGCTCAAGGTTTTGTATCAGTATATTCAAATTTAGATAATTATGTTCTTGGTGAATTGTTTTTGTTTAAACTTAAACTATGATACCAAATTAACTTCTAAAAGAGATACTATTTCTACATATTCATTTGGCAGATGGTTTTGTCAAAAAGCTACTTACAATACCGGGTTTCAAACACACAAAAAAAAGAGTTTAAACGATGCAGGCTCAGTGTTGTGTTCAATGGCTGAATAATTATGAGAGATTATATTATTTTTCTAAAGTACACTTATTATAATTATAAATATGAAACCTAAAATGTCTAGGTGCAGGTTTTAAATTGCCAATTAAATCAAAAAGTCTGTTTTTCTTTTACACACTTTAGTTCTTTCCTACCACCAGGAGTAAGAATGCTACTATAGCCATATTAATATCTAAACAATATTATTGCGTTGTCAATGGACAGGCAACTAAATACATGTAATAAAAGTTTTATTGAACAGTTTATCTGAAAGTTGTATTTGCAATCAAACAAATTTTTCATTTTTTCATTACAGTACCTGCGGTGTGATTATCTAAAATAATCAAACAATGATAATGTACACTACTTCATTAGCGGGAAACATAATTTGATTGGAGAAATGATTTAGAAAAGTGGTCTCAGTGCATTAGCCATCAGTTTCCACCCATTTGCATGAAGCTGTGTAGTCTTTCATGAGAACTGCCAAACCATTTGTAAAAATTAGCATAAATTATAGTTCCTTTCTTGATGGTATTAAGCCAGTAAACATATCCAAATCCATTTTCATTATTTTCTTCTTTGAAAAAGTGTGTGGAGGTTAAATATTATAGAAGCTGGTTTGAAACTGAGGTGGTTAGTGGTTAGAGTAAACAATAATAAGAAAAAAAAAACACCACACTTTATTTATCCACTCTCTACTTCAGTATTTACTGGACAAATGTATCTACCTCAGAACTGAGCCACACCTGACTACATCAAAGTGTGAGGGTGTTTGCTCCATTGTGTTGGACATATTTAAATTAAATTACAAAACCAGCCACCTAGGATTTTTTTGATACCACTATGGACTATAAGACTTTTCCCTCCTCAATTAGCTATCAGCAGCTGCTCTTTAACTTAATAGCACTCTTATCTAAGCCCCACAGAAAGGTCAAACCAACTGGGGGACTGCAGTGAGTGGCTGGCTAACACTTGGATCTGAAGTGTGTGTCTGAGAAAGAGAAAGATAGGGAGAATGTGTGTGAGTGTATGTGTGTGTAAAAGGATGTTAAATTAATGTGCATGTGAAGGACAACAAATTTCCTGGATGTGTTGGAAAAACGTGGGATGAAGTAGGTTGAAGGACAGTGATTTGTGGTTGAATCGTATAATTCCTAATTGGGGTCAATCCCTTTTACTAACAGCTTTTTTTTTTTTTTTTTTTTTTTTTAAAGTTTGTAAAATTCCCCCTCTGTGCTTTCCATTAAAAAGAAACTCATCTGTCATCAAGATCTTTTAACCCACTGCCATTATTCTAATGATCTGAATATAAAAAAGACCTTCAGAAGTGTTTTTTTTTTTAGACATAACCATTAATATCCACCCACCCAACATTTTTACTCAACATTTCATCCTCCCATTCATTCTCATTAACTTAATAATATCTCATATTCCTGTGACACTTTGGCCTTTTGAATATCAAGAGCGTGCACTCTGATTGGTCTCCGACACACTCATTTCACCCACACATAACCCTTGTTTGTCCCCCGTGGAGCAGATGGGGTGGATGTAGACAACGGCTTTAACCTTCTGAGCGCGGCGTTTGTCTGCTCTCTGGTTCTGGTGGTAGATGCGGCTGAAGTTGGAGACGATGACAGGGACAGGCAGAGCAATCACCAGCACGCCGCTCAAGGAGCAGATGGAGCCGAAGATCTTCCCAGCAATCGTCTTTGGTACCATGTCTCCATACCTTCAGATGAGACGGATAAGAGAAGTCAGACAATGTGCTGATACAAATGCATGGCCTTCAGATAGAACTGGTACGACTCCATCCATCATTCATAGTGAGTTTAGACATGTTTTACAATGTGTTGATAAGTTTCCAACAGTTTTTACACACTTTTCCATTTGTGCATAGAGACACCTGAGGGGAAAGACCAGAAAAAATAGTAAAGCAGTATTTGCCCTTTGCCTTTTAGAATAATAATGAAAAAGTTCTATTTTTTTGACTGTACCTTTGTGTTGTTTGCACTGTTTTTACAACGAAGCAGTGATTCATGCTGCTTCATCAGAAAAGTAAAAAAAAGAAAAAAAGAGATAAAAAAGAAGTTTTAACAGCAAAGGACAATCATTTCAAGTCCAGCTGATGAAACCAGCACGGTGTCCACATGTATTAGAGGAGGTTAAAAAAAAATCATCAAAGCATCAAAGTGCTGGAATATTTATGAACTCCTGTCTCATTCTTTGAAATGACTGCCCCCCCCCCCCCCAAAAAAAAAAGGTACCTAAAAGATAAATACAACACCTTCATTTTGCCCAAATTTCAAAAAAATTGATTAAAAACGGCATTGAACAGTTTCAATGGAAACATAATTACTTGCTTCACATTGCCATTCACATCCACCAAGGTTGAATTATTCCAGAAGCAGCAGGTTTTAGAGGAATTCTCCTCATCCTGCTTTGGCTTTGTCTGAAGGCACACCTTATTTCAAAATTCTAATTTGAAATCATGGTTGTGAGACACTTGTCAAAGAAGATGCAAAATAATCACTTTCAATTACCTGTAGCTTTAAACCTGCATTTACTGGCAATTCTTGGCTGTTTGGGCAGAACGAAGCTACTGACATCCTCCTTTAAGTTGATGCTGCATAGTTACACATCCAACAGATAAAAAAAATGTTGGAAATTTGTTTGAATCTGCGTTTCTTACCATCTGATACTGACCAAAATTTACTGTTTTTACAGCTGTTTTATTCGCTACCCACTCTTTAGGGATGAGATATGTGGTGCTTTAGCTGCTCCTCTATGTTTACCAGCTAGTTCCTATTAGATAGCATATAGGGAGAGTGTTGTTTTTTTTGTTAAACAGAGAATAGTTGCCTATGATGTGAATGAAAAGAGTGAATCAAAACAGAAAAGCCTCTGCAGAACTGAAGGAAAATAACAGGCTGATGTCAGTTAGTTCATGGATACAGGTGGTCCTCACAGGCATGTTGCAATGTGATCCGTTGCTTATATAGAAATTTGATTAGAGCAGGTTTTACAAAGGTTAGACACAGCACTACAATCTTTGCTGCTTTCCCTTTCTTTGTTCCCCGTTTTAATGCATGTCGATCTGTGCTTCCTTTGGGCCTCTGATAATTTGATTACACAGGTGAATGGCTGCTGTAACAGGTGGACAGAGGCAGGGAGATAGGACCACTGCTATCTATGTGGCTCAGACGTGGCATAACAAAGCCTTGCCAGTGGGCTCCAGGTCCAGGAAGGAGCCAAGGCTGACTTGCTGGCAAAAAGCTGTGGGCCATGATGCCATGCAGTGGAACAAATTGATTTTTAAACAGACTTTTGGGACAAGCTTGTAAGCTGCTGAGAAAAGACATTGAAGTTACAACTGACATCAAGTTTAAATAGTGATGCGAAGTGATGGAAAGCTATGTTTGCTGCTGTGTAACATTTAACAATTTGAAAAAAAACAACAACTAGAAAACAAGGAGGGCAACACAAATGAGCATATTCTAGATCTGGGACTGTTCTCAGTGCGCGACCAACTTATTTCCCCAAGAACCACTTTAAAGAACCGAGCACAGAACGTTGATTTAATCCTTTAGGTTTCACTAAACACTTGCACTTATCAAAAGACCTTTTTTCCTCTTCCTCGCTGACTGTTTGGCCTTTCCGGATCCTCTGAGTTTCCTCTCCACTGCGTTCTCGACACAATAAGGCTCTTGACAGGTAAGACCCATGCACTGTTGACCACTGTGCCTCCTGAGGGCCGCTCTCTGCACAAACGTGGGTGTGTTCTGGCTTTCCACTTTTCTGACTGTTGTTTTTCCGGCCCAAAGCTCCCACTCTGGCCCATTCTCCTCACTGAAAAGCGCTATAATCGCTAGACTTACCTACCTCCTGCTTACTACCCACAGAATGAAGAGCAGAGGGATTATCACAAACCCAGCCTTCTGCTCTGCCTGAGTAAATATCTGCGAGAGGGAAGAATGTGATGTTGCTCAAATCCTATTTCAAAATGACTTTTTCTGATATCTTCTTTCTTACACACTAAAGTTGAGTACAGATGATGGAGACCACAAGTTTAACCGACTACAGAAAAATATGCTGCCTTTTAAATAGGAAAAACATTAACTGGCCACCTTGAAATAACCTAAAGTAAAGCAAAAATTCCCTTTAAAAGAATAAGTTATCTAAATGTAATGTAACTAAAGCTTAAATGATGTTGGTTAAAAAACTATCTTCAAAAGAGGGGCATTTTCTTTTTTTGAAGGGGACAAAGTTTACAATCCTGTGGCATTGTTATAAAAGGTTTAATTTCATCACATGAATTTTCATGCAACATAGCACAGGGGAGCCTTTTTTAAAATATCTGTTATTTGCTCAATTTAAAGAATAATTGTACTAAATGGATGCAAGATCATGTCCTGCATCTTATTACATTAGTATTATTTATTCACTACTACAAGATCATTTGAATGAAAAACACTTTCTTCTCTGGGAAAACAGCAATGCTGTTGAATATTCAAACAAGCCTAAGTAAAGGGACGTTCACATTCTCATCAGGTAGCTACTATTTTTATTTAGACTATTTTAAGGTGGAATATGCGATTCCAATTTAAAACACAATTCAATCAGCCTGTTTTCAAGGCGTGAGATAAGATTAACTATTCATACCTCCAACAGGCAGTTAACATCACAGTTTTTTTTAAACATTGCTTCCACAGCTGAGTTGCTCTGCGCCTTTTGTTACAACATACGAGGTGTGTCAGAAAAATTTCAGGACTGGTGTCACAAAAGATATATTTCAAACCCAAACGACAAACTACAAGTTTTCCCCTTCAGACGATCAACCAGCACGTCTACAAAGAGATCCTGTGGTGTTTGTTTCGTTCAGTGCGTGAGAAGAGGCGAGAGTTGTGGCAGGACAAGTCATGGCTGCTTCACCAAGACAACGCGTCTGCTCACAATGCCCTGAGCATCCGACAGTTCCTGGCTGAGAAAAACATCGGCATGCTGGAGCAACCTCCCTACTCACCCCACCTGGCTCCATAGGATTTTTTCCTCTTCGCCAAGCTCAAGGGGGTCATCAAGGGAACCTGTTTTGAAGACGTAGACGACATCAAGATGGCTGTGACGACGGAGCTGAGGAGGATCGCGGAAGAATCCTTCCAGGAGTGTATGGCGGCGTGGGCAGAGAAGGCTGGGAAAGTGCTCCAGGGAGATTGCTTTGAAGTGGAAAACTTGTAGATTGGATTTGAAATACATCTTTTGTGACACCAGTCCTGAAACTTTTCTAACACAGCTTGTATGAGACTGTGCAGGAATTTGTGGGTTGTTTTATGGCAGTCCAGACCTTTGTGCATGTTCTGACTGCAAGAATTGCCAATACAGAACATCTTTAAGAGTAGTTTTTTGGAGAGAAAAACCAAATTAATGTTGGGTACTCTTGAGGAACACAGAAAAAGTGCTCTGTGAGTCTTGAAGCTGACTTGTTAACTTAGAGAGGACAACAAGCACTATTTTTTATTTTTCCTGGCTATGTAGCAGTCTTCTTCTCTCTAACAGTGCCATCAGTAATGTAACGTTCACCTTCTAGGCTAATCTAGGCTACATAGGGAAATGCAAAGGCTTAAAGGGCTGACTATTGGACTGTTCCTGTAAACTTTCGAGCCACCTACTAAATAAAGTTATTAGAAGGAAATGCTCATAATCAAGGTACATATATGCAATCTTCCAAAGAACCTGGAATACATGTGTTTTTTACACAGACTGTATAAAAGAAGTAGACGTAGCCACCATGGTGCACATTTTGGGTTTCACCATCTTGGTTTTGTGAAGCCTATTTGTACAAGAGGGTGGAACTGGAAAGAAGCAAGAGGCGCATCTGACTGAGAACCTATGGATGCCAAAAACATCTATATAGTAGAAACTCTCCAGTCACAAAATAGCTATGCCCTAAAGCACACCCAGCATCACTGTCTGTTTTACTCTAAATGGGACCGTAATATACAAAGTGAATCTTATGCTGCATTAAAGGAGACTTGAAACTAGTGATTGAGAACATAAACTCATAGGGAAAAGTTTACTGAGGCAACACTTTAAGTGAGATTTAGTGATTTTCTTTTTATGACAAGAGAAGTTGAGCCCTGCCTGCCATTAGAAAGAATGCAGTTTTAAGGCACTTCTGCTTTGGCTACACTTTCCAAACCTGGCAGCCACCTCCACTTCTTTTATACATATATTACTGTCTATCAGTGTAAACTGCATGTGCCAAATTAGGACTGAAAATTGAATACAGACTGTGTAGCAGTATTAAGCGAGGGACTGGTTTACTTAAAGTCAATTATGATGGACGTTAGACCTTTTATTCATGTTCCACGTAAAAGAAAAATAGATTCTTGTTACTCTTCCTAAACCCAACTGAATCGCAAACACCTCTTTCCTTCTTTGAGTGAAACTTTTTCTCATGTAGTTTGAGAAGTCAGGCAGGCTGATGTGTACTGCAAGCAGAGAGGAGTCAGAAGGATTATTAACAAGCGATGGAGATTTGACCACAGGGCTTGTTGTTATTGTTGCTGAGTCCTGCTCCTGGCTGCCAGACAATCAGACAAATGATTTCACAGCTCGCTCCGCTTGCTGTCTCTCAGCCAATGAGAGATGACATTCTCCTGGCTGTGTGTCTGACTGCTTTGTTGTAATAATGTTTGACACTTCATACCCACTACTATGTGTCAAACATCATTA